ATAAAATAATAAAAAAATATTTAACAAAATAAATTATATATTAAAAGTAAAATTAATTTTATAAATTTATTAAAATATTGTTAATAAAATAAACGTTTTAATAAATTTATAAAATAAATCATAGTTTCAATATACCATCTAAATTGTATTACATAAATCTTATAAAAAAAATTAAAATTCTGCGGTCGATATTAGGACAATTCCCCGTGAGTTTTAACGTTTAAAATGTTTTGATTTTCATTTTTTAAAAAATATCGCAGAAAAGGAAAAAGAAAAAAAAGGTGAGGACACAGGACGGAGACCCACGCGCACCGCACACAAACACGACGCCCCAAATTCTATTCTTCTTCGTTTGGATCAAAAATCATAAAAATCAAACCCACCATGCGAGGAAATCAAGTTTCCAGAGAGAGAGAAAACACGAACATCATTCATCACCCTCTACAAAAAAACCCATGATCACGACTCCATTTTCTCTGCAATTAATCCTTTAACCTAACCCTACATTTCGTTTATTTTTTGTTTTTCCCCTTCCACGAAACCCTCTGTATCCCTTCGATTTGTTGATTTTTTTTTTTTCTATTTTTCTTTCGGGCGATCGGATTGGGAGAGATGAGTGAGGAGTGTCGGTGCGGTTGATTATTCGGTGTTCAGTGTCGCGACGTAATCGTTGTCGTCTTCTTGTTTTTGTTTTTCTCCCTTTTCTGGGGAGGATTTTTTTTTTTTTTAATTTTTTTGTTTTTATTTAGGGTTTGAGATTAGAGCTAGCTTTGGATTTGAGTTCTCCGGAGTTGAATTGATGGAGATGGAGGCTCGCGTCGGGAATAAGTTCCGGCTTGGTCGAAAGATTGGCAGCGGCTCCTTTGGAGAGATCTATCTTGGTTCGTTTCCGATTTATGTGATTTTATTCATCATTCTTTTTTGTTTGCATGTTTTTGATTTTCAATTTGTTTCTGCAGGTACTAATATTCAGACCAATGAAGAGGTTGCCATTAAGCTTGTGAGTCTCCGCGCAAATTTTTCCTGCAATTTTTGTGGAATTTATATCCAATTTCAGAGCTATATTTGAGTAATTAAGCATCTTGTCACGCCTGAGTAATGCTAATGTAGTTGAATCATATGCTTATTGAAGCATGAATTGGATGGAAGTACGTGAACTTGCTTGTGCTTGATTATTCATGTTCTAGGAGGCAGTACTGCTAGGGTAGCTGTAATTTGAAAGTGTTGAGAGCGGTTTTGATACCGAAAATTAGCTACTTGCGTGTCTGGTTTTTTGCTTAGCCCTGATATCTTAATTTCTATATGAATTGGACTGCAAAAGGGTTTTGATTGGTTTGGTTGACTTCTCAATTTTTCATTTTGTAGTTAGGATAATCTTAAGTCAGATTGTTACAAGAGTCTTAAGTTAATCTGAGTTTATTGCTTTTATGATTTGCCCATGTCAAATGCTGTCGTGGGTTATATATGAGGAGATTGATTTCAGGCTGTATGAATTGATTCATTTCATTATATGACAATCACTAACTTTTAGTGGGTATCTTGCTTTTTCATGGGTTCTTTAGACTACAACCCTTGTCTTAAGTATGACACAGGACCTAATAATTTTTTTTATACATCACTTGGCCACAAGTCTTTGGCCTAGTGATTTAAGCATCAATCCTTCTCCCAGGGGGAGACGCAGGTGTTTAGTTTTAACATCCGTGACAATAGCTTTTGGGTATTAAGGGAAGGCAATGACTACCTCTCATGCAATCCAGTCTTTTAAGCATTAAAACGATCTGGAAAAGAATGGCCTGATGCTATTGGTTCATTAACTTTTCTGACATTCATGTAAAATGCATTGTCTTCGTATATTCAGTTTGTATGTTTTGGAGCTTTACTTAAGAAATTTGATTTTCATTCCTTCCAATGCTTTAGCAAAGATTAATTTGTTTGTGCTGATTAATTTTATGACCAATTTCCTGTGGTCAGGAAAATGTCAAGACAAAACACCCTCAGTTGCTCTATGAATCAAAGCTTTACAGAATCCTGCAGGGAGGAAGTAATGGTGTTTGATTTTCTTTTGTCTATCTAGTGCATGGAATTTCTTCCTGAAGTTCTTTGTTTTTGAGCTTTATGGCTTTTTATGATTGCAACCATTAACCCCACCTTCCTTCTCTTCTTTCTTGGCAGCTGGAATTCCAAATGTGAAATGGTTTGGAGTTGAGGGTGACTATAATGTTCTGGTTATTGATTTACTAGGACCCAGTCTTGAAGATCTATTTAACTTTTGTAGCAGGAAACTATCCCTGAAGTCAGTTCTTATGCTTGCAGATCAAATGGTAGGTTTCATGTGCTTGTTGCAGCAGTACTGTCAGGGCTCTGCTCTAAATAGCTGATTGTGTTGTCTGTTCTCACTCTTTGTCCAGATCAATCGTGTGGAATTCATTCATTCAAAATCATTCCTACACCGAGATATCAAGCCTGATAATTTTCTTATGGGCCTGGGAAGACGCGCAAATCAGGTTTCTGGTCTATCATTTTATACCTTCTCTATCCCAAATTATTTGGCTCTCTGGCTATATAAAATTTAATGCACTAATAGTCTGACATTTCAGTAAGTGTTTTTTTATAAAATTCTAACCTGTCTGCAAGAAGGAGGATCTTGAGCATCTCCAACAAGATAACTGTCTTGATGGTCTTGACGATCTATGGTTCTTGATTCTGTCATTATTTGACTTGATTTTTTATGAGGATTTATTAAAGAATAAAGATTGTTGTCCTATCAATTTAGATCACAATTATGATACCATTGGTTGTCTATCCCTTTAATAGGAGGGTTAAGTCTTTTTCTGGAAACTGTGGACAGTTATAAATCTTCTTATGTAAAAGTTTTTTTTTTTTTTTTCAATGGATTCTAGTGTTACTTTTATATGAATGTTATGGCACTTCAATAAGAGGGAAGAAGTTCAAAGAAAATGAGACAAAAAAAGTACCTTATTTAAAACTTGCTCAATGTTCATAAGCACTTTAAATGCTGAAAAGCAACCTTTTCCTCCAATATGTTTTTAAACTTTAGAGAGAATAAACTGCTTGTAAACAACACAAAAAAAGTGCTATGCCAAACACGCTTAAAGGAATTGTCTTGTTAAATTTATTTCTTTTTTTTTCTTTGAAAAAAAAAAAAAAACTTTCTTTATCTGCAAGTAGATGATTGTTAATTTATTATCTGTAATTCACTTGCACATAGGTCTATGTTATTGACTTTGGCCTGGCTAAGAAATATAGAGACACTTCAACTCATCAACACATTCCTTACAGGTGAGCCCTTGCCCTTCACTGCAAAAATACTTTGTTCAATTTATTTATTTTGCGCATTCTTGTTTGGTTTACTTGGAACTCTTGTTATCCGAAAGGAAGAAAAGTTCTCCACTGATATCTCTGAGTTGCTTCAGAAGTTTAGAAACTTATTATTACTTCTTTCAGTTATCATTGGTGATGGATTTATGGTGGATATATCCTCTTTTGCAAGAGGCAGAGGCATGTTGATGGATTCTGTCTAATTGTTTCTGATTATGATATATGAGCAACTCTGAATGCTACATTTGATCATCTTTAGATATACACAACTCATTTGCATGCCAATGCTGTACTGCTTGCTTTTGTAGGTGTTAAATAAAGTAGGCAGATATTGCTTGTGTTAAGCGTATTACATGGATGCAAAGCAGAAGAATTATGTATCAGTTGAACCCCTCAAAGAATTGTATTGGTATTTATTTGAAGATAGTGTCTGAAAATATAAAGCTTTTCATTGGGGATCTGATCTTGATGAATAACGACATTTCTTACTGCTATTGAATACCTCAGTGACAGTTATTTCTTTGTGAATTCCAAAATAATTAACATAGAAACATCTTGATGCAAGCCTGTTCTATTGTGTGAAATGGTATGGTTCAATAAGTTGATGAGTGGAGTTATGTTTCGTGGATGTGTTTCAGTTTGAATCATGTTTTAGAGTGTCACACTTCTGAGATAAAGCATAAACTCCGCTCCTAATAATTTGTAATTATAATTCTTGGTTCAATGGTTCGATGTTAATGCATACAACTTTGACAAGTTGATGCTGAGTTTAAGTTATCATGTCTATTTCAGGGAAAATAAGAATCTAACGGGGACAGCTAGATATGCAAGCATGAACACACATTTGGGGATTGGTATGTGTTCCAAGTTCATCTATTGTGTGATCCGTTCAACACATATGGCATTCTATTAAATGGTCATGAATTGATTCTCCATTTTTCCCTGTCAATTTGTAATGCACAGAGCAAAGCAGGAGGGATGATTTAGAGTCTCTTGGTTATGTCCTTATGTACTTCCTTAGAGGAAGGTGATTATTACTGCCTTCTCTATTTATTCATATCTTGCATTTTTTTCTTTAGTATTTTCTTTAGTGATGCCTCTTCTCTTTGTATAGTCTTCCTTGGCAGGGACTCAAAGCTGGAAATAAGAAACAGAAGTATGAGAAAATTAGTGAGAAGAAGGTTTCTACTTCAATTGAGGTGTGGGTTTCTTTAAATCTTGTTCTTAATTGTATTCTCTTTCTTTCTTCCTACCTCTACTACCACCTTCATATCCTTCCAAATAACACTTAAAAGGTAGGTGAATAGGGTGGTGTCTGGTCTTATCTTGTATATTTAAAACTGTGACTGGATTGATGCTCTTTCAGGCCTTGTGTCGAGGTTATCCAACAGAATTTGCATCTTATTTCCATTACTGCCGTTCATTAAGATTTGATGATAAGCCAGATTATGCTTATTTGAAGAGAATTTTTCGTGACCTCTTCATTCGTGAAGGTTTGTCTTTGTCTGTTCTACTACTTTAAATTGACTCAAATCTATTCTGGTCTCAGATTTCAAGCTCTTGTTGATCTTTAGGATCTCGTTGGCTTTCTTTTTATTGACTGTACTTTTGACCCTTTGCTGAACAGGCTTCCAGTTCGATTATGTTTTTGACTGGACTATTTTGAAGTATCAGCAATCACAGCTGGCTGCTCCTTCAACTCGTGCCCTCGTAAGTTTTGTAATGTACAAAGAAAAAAAAATGGTTCTTTTGTAGGATTTATTTGTTTATTTACTTCAGTTGGTTATTAGGATGCATGTTTGATTCTGGTTTCTTCTAGGGTCCTGGTGCTGGAACAAGTTCTGCAATGCCCCCTGCTATTGCCAATGCTGACAGACAGACAGGTAGTTATTTAATTTCTATTCATTTATCAGTGTGGTAATTTTGTAATTGTTAGTTGATTAGAATGAATCCTATTATTTTTAAGTCGATACTCCAGTTGAAGGTTTTTCATAGCATTTTTTTTTTTCTTGTACAAAGTGTGTATGTCTCCTTTCCTTTATTGGGTTCAAGTCATTTTTTTCCCTTTTAAAATTTTCCTGTTTGGTAACATCAGATGTTCTTAGTCAATAATAAAAGGTGAAGCTAACCCTGGGATCTTTGTGTTTTTATTTTTATTTTATTTTTTTAGCAGCTGGAGAGGATCCTACTAGGAGGAGGACATCAGGACCAGCATTGAGTTCTGGAATTTTATCAAAGCAGAAAAGTCCAGTTGCTAATGATTCTGCAACAAATAAGGATGCTATGGTAAATTGATTAGATTTTTTATCTCTATATTCAGTTACATGCAAATTTTATTTTGTTGTTTAAAATTTATCAACCTCCCACCCTAGTCTGTCTCTCTCTAGGTGGGTGGATAGGTTGCTGCCAAACCATGTATGGGATGGCAGTAAGATGTTTTATTTTGATTATTCTAGTCTCTAGTTACAATGATTCTTTTATTTTGTATTTAAATTTAATCAACCTTCCATTCTAATCATGTACATGATGGTAGTACTGCATTTTAAATAATCCATTGTTTTTGATTAATTAAAATTTTTCTGTCCTCTTCTACTATCGATTCATTCTGTGTTGAATTAGGATCCTTGATGTCTTAATACCTTGGATTCCGTATACCATTTTGATGCATTTGAAGATTTTGTGAGAGCCAAAATTCCTTTGATGTCAAGTCATATTTTAATTACTACCTGCTTTTAAATCCAATTTGTATATTTGGAGGTGCAGTATTTTGGGCAGTCTGGTGGGTCCTCTAGACGAGTCTCTGTCCCTGGCAGCCGTGATGCATTTGCTGGAAGTGAGTTTGATCCCCAACGTTCTCGTACAACTGATGCTAGCCCTGGAGCTGGGCAGAAAGTTTCTAGTCGGCAAAGAGCCTCTCCTGGTGTAAAAAACTATGAAGCAGCTGTTAAAGGCATGGAGGGCCTGCACTTAGAAAATGATGAAAGAGTTCATTTTTAGATGCTGAATCCTGCAGGGCCACTATAAGCTATGAAATGGTTGATGTATTATTACATTTAGCAATCGAACAGAGTCCCCAGGAATGGAGTTTCAAGGTACTATGAGCTCACTGTCCTGTGGATTGGGGCTCATTCCCCGACCTCAATGCATAAATTTCGGAGATTGAAAACATCTGGAGTGTAATTCAAAAGCATCAAGGTGTTACCCAAAAAGGGCCATATGTGTGCTATTGTTTTTCTCTTCTATTCCTCCCTCCCCCCTCCCCTCCCCCTTCGTTTAACTCTTTCATATTTGTTGTCTGTTCCATCTTGTGCGTCTTGGTTGTCTGGGACTCGGATGTCTACGAAACTCATGAAGGCCGTGTAAATTGTTTTACTCTAATTATGTGCCTTTCAGCCCCTTTTCTTGCTCTTAACAATAGTTTTGTATCAACAAAGGGCACAGAATGCACAACCGAGAAGTGAGAAAATTTCTTTTAATATTACTGTGATTCTCTGTTTTGTCGTTGTCTGTATCTTTTATATACAAGTTCATGGTAAGGCTGCAAAACAGGTGGTTTTTGTCTTTTTGGCCTTTCCCTTCATATTAGTTGATAACACCGATGTTAATAAAGCTGTGGTGCTGGGTAAAGTCAAGTCTTCTTGTTTGTTAGCTACAGCTTTTAAGTGTCATTTGTTATCTCCAAAGGAGAAAAGTAGTGGTGGATGATTGTGGGACAAAGAAGTAATGTACAGCTAGAACATTGTACCAAAACAAACTCTATTCATTTATCAATAAGGTAGATAAGAATATTTCAAGGACTGTTAAAAAAGAAGAAGGAAGTAGATAAGATTTTGCACACCCACCTGAAAAAAGAGAAGAGGTTGATAAGAGAATCAAGTCATTTTGTTAATAACTTAATATTCAATTCGTCAGTCAGGTCTTATCAACCCATGCTCCCATTTAAAGAATAAAGGCTATAGGTTTTGGTTTGACAAAAGGAGAGGATAAATTTTTTTTTTTTTATAAATTAAATTGTAAAACAGTGATAAATAAAATTAAAATTTGAGTTTAAAGTTTTAAACTAATAATATAATATAAATTATGATATTTAAAATATTAAAAAATTAATTTTATATTATTTAATAATTAATTTTAAAAAAAAATAATATTATATACATCAACTAATTTAATAATTTGATTTATTTTCATTCATTCGTGATATTATATATCATATCATTGATCTTAAATTTTCATTCTTTTTATCATTACTTTAAATTGTAATATTGATTAACATTATAATTTAATTGATAAAAAAATTAATTAAATTATAATATTGATTGATAAAAAAATAATTAAATTACAATATTAATTAATGTTATAATTTAACTAATAAAAACAATTATCTCTTATTGCAATATAATTGGTTAAAACAAAATCATCTCTCTCTCCTCTTCAATTCTTCTTAAACCAAACATACTCTAAGCGTTATTAAGAGTCCTCCAATTCGTGCTCAACATGCTCCTTTTTAGCATGCATGCCATGCAGTTACTGAATACTTAGGAGAAATGATTATTTCTAAGTCAAACAATAAGAAATATAAGTAAAATTATGAAAATTTGTGTTTTTTTTTTTTTTTTGGTAAAAAGAAAATTTGTGTTTAATTGTCACAATCTTGAGGGAGGGGGAGATCTAGTTATCTAGCGGCCCGTGGCCCAGTGACACGGGACACCCTAAGGCTGGCTTGCATATCAAAGGCCTAATTTAGTAGCACTAGTTCTACACCCAGGCATTTCCCACCGTCCTACCCCTACTCCAAAAATTTCCAAAAACTAACATTAATGAAACATCTTATTCATATAAATCATGTAATATATTAATTTTTAAATTCTTTTTAACATTTCTAACATTTTGATAACATTTATAATCCCTTAATTGAACAAAATAATTTTATTTTATAATTTAAATTACATTATAAAATAAAACTTATTAAATAAAAAAATTTAATTCTAATTCTATAATTAATATTATATAATTTGATTTGGTCTAGATAGTACAACACCTTTTCTAAATAAGACTTCTAATTCAATCTGTTAATCTTTAAATATATTAATTAAATATTTATGTAATACAACGTCCATTGCATCTTATATTTTTTATTTTATTATTTCTTTATACTAACCTACTAATATTCCGCAACTATATTGATCCTCATTGATCCAAAATCGAATCGTGTTGGATTTCATTTGAGAGAAGCCAGCATCTTTCATAGATTAACAAGAATTGTAATTCCACAAAGGCACCAACCAATCATTGACCAAGGGAAAGAGAAACAGTCAAGCACCAAAACAATCAAGAGTGCCCCAGAAGGGCCAGAAATAATGTTAAGACAGCTCTGGGATTTCTATGGAATTCAAGTAAATAGAGTCCAAAGTTGGAAACCCTCAAAACGATTGTCTTCCACAAATTGTCACCATATTAACTTCAAATCACCAACATCTTCTGATAACTCACAGTCTTTAAAGATCATAGTAAATACAGTTACTAAAAATCTGTGATATTCCTTCACAGAAATTGAGAACTCTAAAAGTACCCAAATTTACAAAGCAAAAGGCAAAAAATTAAAAAAAGAAAAAAGAAAAAAGAAGAAGATACCATTACCTTAGGGAAACAATTGAAGAAAGAAAGCACAGATTGGGTAATTCCTACCATCCATAGACGACTCTAGTGTACCTGTCTTTGAGCCACCTGAAACTCTTTTTCAGAGACCCTTTGAGTTTTCCTTCAACGGAATACACCTTATAGCTAGCGACCCTCTTTTTCCTCTGCAACTCCGGATCGGAGAAACTCCAGCTCCTTGAAGACACCGCGTTTGTCGATTTCCCCTTTTTGAACTTGTTTTCGTTATTCGGGGCCGTCTGGGTGGTCGGAGCAGGGCGCACCGCTGAGGCGTAGGAGGCGCTGTAACACCTGAGATCTTGCATGCTGTTGACGCCATAGGAAGTGGGTCCGTTGTAATTCTCTATCTGCATTCTTCCACCGGCATAGGATTTGGATCTGAAGTCTTCCATGAAGAATTCACAGGAAACGTTCAGAAGCAGAGGTCGAGTTTTCCTGTTTCTCTCTCTAGAATGTAGAATCCCACTCCTTTTATTTAGAGATTTTTCCAAAGTGTATCTGAAAGTAATTTATTTAGAGATTTTTCCAAAGTGTATCTGAAAGTAATTTATTTAGAGAATTCTTTTTGTCTAAATATATAAAAAAAATAAAATTGGATGGGACTTTCATATTTAATAGCTTTGAATTTAGTTGAAAATTTGGTTTATAATAACGGTGGAAGAAAAATACCTCACTCAAAATTTTTTTATATTAAAAAATGTATATATATAAAGAAATAAAATTTAATAGTATTAATTTAATATTATAAGAAATTTAATAAATTTAATTAAATAATTAATAAATTAAAAATAAATTTTTATTTTTACTTTAAATTTATATTAAAAAATTATATTTATTACGTTATTAATGTAAACACTTTGTTTATTTCCCTCTGTAGGACCAGTGTAAACACTCCATTTATTTTCCTCTCAAGGACTTTGGAAGTAAATAAAATCTTAGCTTTAAAACAATGGGTATTATAGTAACCAAGGATTGGATTAAGTTGTAAGCGGCTTGTTTCAATTTAAGTAAAGTCTCGAGTTTGAGTCTTTGTGTACGCAGTAGTCCCCGCTAAGAGACTCACCCACTATTTCCAGGTATGCGACGCGGGTCGGGTCCGGATTAGTTGAGGCGAAGCCTCGGATATCGGGCGAAAAATCAAAAAAAAAAAAAAAAAACAATGGGTATTATTGGGGATGATGTCAATTTTCAGAAATATTTTAAAAATTTCAGGCTGCAGTATCTTCTGACACCATGATCCATGGGTCGCTGACCAATAAATGTTATTGCGTCGGTGGAATGGGACTGGTTCGCACACCCAATGGGATCGGTCGGGTCGGGTGTTAACTGTCATCCCATTACAACCGTCCTGTTTAATTTCAAGCAATTGGGGATAAGCTCTAATGGTATGAAATAAGTGGTTGATGGTAGTTTTATTTCGTTTGATAATTAATAATTTAAATATTCTTGTTAATTAAAGTAGATGAAACTGAATTGAGCTTTTGATTTCAATAGTTCGTTCTCAAATCATAAATGCTTGGATGTTGTTGATTGAAAAACATCTTAAAAACATATATCTCCATCTTTAAATTCTCTATGTTAAAAAAAAAGAAAAAAAAGATGAAACTGTTATTAACAGTTTGTATTTATATTTAGAGGGTGGTATAGGATAGGCCATCCTTTTAAAATTATTTTAGAAAATTTGTTTAAAATTTTATATTTTAATTAATATATTTTTAAAATTTTTTGTTAAATTAAAAAAATATTTATGTAAATTATACATATTAATTTTTATATTAACCTAATATTTATAATTTTTAATTAAAAAAATTTTATTTACTAATATATATTTAATGATATTAAATATTTTATAATTGATAAAATGGTTAAACCTCTATTAAAATAATTTGAAAATTGACATACTAATCAATAGTAATAAAATTTTTAATCTGACAATTGATTTTTAAAAATGTTAATTACAAGTCAAGTTTTTAAATAAGTTCTTCAAAAACAATTTAAGAAAACAATTTGTGAAACACTTTTCTTTTGTATGTAACTGTTATACCAAATACTATCTTTTAAGCTATTTTGTTTTTTATTAATTGGAATTTTTTTTAACTTGAATCTTAATGCATAAGTTAAAAATGTATTTATTATATTTTTTTATCATCAATTTACATAAAAAATAAAAATCAACTTAAATTTTATTAATTGTTTAACTAAATTATTTTACGTGATATTAATATTAAAAATTAAAATTTATTTTTGTAACTTTTTGTATAAATTAGTAGTAAAAATTACAATAAATACACTATTAACCTATGCCTTATGTCATATGTTAAAAAAATCTTTAATAATTTTGTATCTCTAGATAAAAAAAATTTATATAATTTCATGGTTATCAATTTTGAAAATTATATTAAAGAAGTTGTTGGTTTAAATGACTAATTTTGGACAACATTAACCAATTAATTAATTACACGCCCTAGAATTAACTGTTTAGTTTATACTTTATACTTTTTTTTTTTTTGAACATTTTATCATGGGGTCGACTCGAACCATTGCCCTGAAGGGGGATATGAACCTTACAAGCGTGGCTAGAGCCATTTGGCCTGAAGGGCCAGGTTCGTTTATACTTTATACTAGTAAAGAATTAATCATGAATAATGATAAATAGAACAAAAATTTAGAATTAAAATTTAAGACCAATAACTTAACATAAGATATGTTATTTAAAATGTTAAAAGGTAAATTTTATATTATTTAATAATTGATTTTTATTTTAATTTTTTAAATATGTGATATTATTTAATGATTTATTTTTTTATTTTTTAAATTCATAATATTATATAATCAATTAATTTAATAATATGACATATCTCATATCATTAATTTTATATTTTTATATTAAATTTTATCCTCCCATCATTACTCATTAATCATACACCTCATAATTGTCGAAAGTACAATTAATTTTGAACGAAAGTAGTTAAATGCAGGCCCAAAGCAGTAAAACCTTCTTTTTGTGATTTTTTAAAATTTGAAGCAAAATTAAAGTTCTGGAGGTTAGAATTCCAAGTTTGGATAACGCTTATTAATTTCTAAAAAGCTCTATAAAATATGTCAATTGATAATATTATTGTGACATTTTTAATTGTTAATATTATATTTTTTTGTTTTAATTGATTATTATATTTTTAATTTATTTAAAAAATAAAAAATAAAAAGTTTAAAAAAATTAATTTATTAAACTCTTATTTTATATTCTAAGGACACAA